CCCTCCTTTCTCTTTGTCCTTATTCCGGTATAACATGTCCCTGGCTCCGCCTTTCATTTTCCCCAGGTGAAAGCACAGACTGTACTCCAAACAGAACTTACCAGAGCAGGGAAGCGGGGAATGGAGGAGGGGCTAGTAGAGTATAAATAAGCATATTAAGTCACTGTTTTGTTTATGTCATTTTCTGCAGTTATTACAGCAAGAAGCAGGAATATTCTTAGTCTTTTGGAGTAAACTATCACAAACTAGATACAGAAAGCACCTGGACTACTAACTGGTTGCATTTTTTAAACCTAATACCTTCTGCATTCCAGACAGTATCTGTGACAGTATGGCGCTTTTGCTTTGGCACTACAGCAACTGTTGGAGTGTTGTTTTACAGGAGTATGAAAGCAGGGCATGCATAGCCAGCAGCAAACTCCAGTTTTCATTTTCTGCTTTATTTTTTTAACACAGTCTCTCTCTATATAGCTATACATAGTCATTTATATTATTGTAACTGTCATTCCAGCAAAGAAATCTTATCTGATTAAAATCTGTATAATTTAGACTATAGAGCTTTAAAAAGCATTGCTCCAGTTTCGTTTATGTTTGCTAAGTAGTTGTAGTGGCTGAATTAGAGGTTGGCATTTGAATTAACAATGTGTTCTGCTCTAATTATAAGTATGTTTTCAAAATCATAACGCACAGTACTGGATGTCGGTAATTTTTGCATTTCATTTGTATGTTTAAAAAAATTTATAAAGTGCATACACTATTTAAAGACTTTAAGACAAGCTTTCTGCCTCCTTTATGAATCTAATGCCACCTGGTGGAGGTATATACCTACTGCAGTTTAACCACCAAGGGGAAGGTCAAAAAGGGCAAACTGGCAAACAACAGCACCTCTGAACAACGTTCACTGAATTTATATTTTCAAAATATGCTCAGTGTCCGTTAAATGCACTATTGTGGTTTCATATCTCTTTGTCTCATTTCTCTTCCCTATGTAAGTGAGGCCATCCCCACAAAGGCCACGCATCAACACCTGAAAGTGTGTGTATCTTACATCTTGTATGTGTGTGTATGTGAGTGTGTGCGCATATCTAGAACAATCTTTCCTATCTATTTTTACAGCTGGGCTGTTCAGCAGAGTGGTTAGGGTGATGTGCCGGTGGTGTGGCACCACTGTTCTCAGACCTCCACAAACAATGACAGTCAACAGGCCAGGCTTTTCCACCACAGTTTAACCGTTGCCGATCATGGCTGCCAAACCTCACAAACATAAAGAAGCAGGAGAACTGTCTCTTCAAGCCTTGGAATTCTTTCAAAATATTTATTCTGCACATTTGAAGAGAGAGACACTCAGGCTGTATCAAATTATATTCAGCATTTTAAAATAAAATTGCAAACATATAAATTCAAGTGATAACATATTCAAACCAAACGTCAAATTCTTTTCAAAACATAAAAATGAAATGTACAATTACATCTGGATGTTAGGAGTAGAAAGATGTCAGCTGGAAGAGTAAAACACTTAAATGTGTACACTGTCTCTGAGATTCTCATAATTAAAAAATAAGATTCAGTTAGGCCTTGTGCACCACCTTGGTAAAACTATGCAATGAGACCTGTCCCCCATACAGGCAGTAGTATAAGCAAACAGCAAGTTAGAAACGGCAAGCCGCTTCACACAATCTAGGATTACTCATCCAAGCACTGCAAACATTAGTAATACTTTTCATTAATTTCTACACCTTTTCTCAGAATCAACCAATAGGTAATGACATCATTTATATTTAAAAACAAAACAACGGAAAGAAAAACTTTTCCCAGCACATACTGTATCTAGCTAAGTTCTTACTGCAGCATCAGTGGACAGTTTAAAAAAGAAGGTAGGTACAAAGGTACAAAGATGCCAAGTTTACCTTCCTCATTTGTGTTAATGACAAGATGAAAATATGAACTGCTAAATCTGTAGCAGCTTTAAAAAAAAAAGTGATGCCATCTTCAGTAACAAAGATGCTACATGTCAAAAATGCAAACAAACCAGAAAGTAATGTGTCATTGGAAATCTTAGTGGTTATTTTTAGGATGTAATTGTGGTGTAAATAATTTATTTAAGTTCTATGACTCAGTTTTTATCACACGGTCAAAAATATAGGCCACATTTCCATTGCATGTTTAATATGAGCATGTTTGTTCTCATCCTGTTCTGTATCTCACAGGATCTCAGCAGTGCGTAGTCCGCTCTTGTCTTCTGTAAAGTGAGTGTGAGAAAGACTTGGGCGATGGGAAGCTTCTCGGTTCTTTTATTTCTTACGGGCATACATTACTACTTTAAGGTTTTCTTGTGAAACTACAAAAGTCACACTGAAGCTGAGGTTTAACTTCCTGTAAAAAGTGGTTAACAGCTCAGTCGTGAGTTAAGGAGCAGGAATTAGGCCAGCTAACGTCAGGGCCAACAATCACACAAAAAGCTTCCTTAAAAGGATTGTAAAAGTATTATGGTTTGACATGACACAAAAACACAAATTAAATAGGTTAGCATAAACCCAAAAGCACGTCTCTGTGCAGTATTTCCAGTTAAGTAGACTTTCGGTGCACAGAGGACAACAGCTTGTTAAAAGTGGAATATAGTGGTGAGATTTATGTGGGAGTGTGAGTTTGTGTGTGAGGATTGTGGGGTGGGGGGTGGATAATAACCTCAAAGTTTACCAGAACAACCTGGTTGAAATAACCCCCTGATGATGAGTCACCTGGTGGTACTGTATCACTGCATTACCTGAAATGTCAGTAATGAAAACAACTGAGGTTTAGAGGGTATTGGAAAGTGTGTAGACCTAAGGAAATCATATGACTAGTACTGTTGGCAGCAATGCCTGGCAATAGCTGGTCCTCCAGTGTGACTGGAGTGTGCTAAATCTGTACGCTATAACACCAGTTTCTAAAGAAAAACTGGACACTAAAATTTATTCTTGATGTGACATTTCAGTCAATTTGTATATTGCCAAAATGCAGGGTACTTTTATATAACCACTGAAAAATAAAATACTGTGAACTGGCCTGGAAGGTGCCTGAATTATACTTTATCTTTTGCTTATAGCAAGTCCAAAGAAACGACCACAACTGATAATTAACTAATCCTACTATCAAGTATTGCCTGTGTACCTGGATACTTCCACTGATGTCCAAAAACACCAACAACCAAAACACACATCAACAAGTCATGCTGGCTAACAAGTTCCTACAATAAAGATTAGCATATTTATTTTGAGTAGATTCTATGTACTCCATCTCTCTGCTATAAATAACCACTACAGCACTGTAAGGAAGTGTACCCAGAGTGACTAGAAAGGTGGAAAGAGGTAGACTCAGAAAATTGATACAGGGCTATAAAAGGTGATTTTTTTTCTCATGTATCAACAAACACCTAAATAGCTGACTTGGCTGAACAGAGGATCCTTCTTTCCTGACTGACAAACACCTTAAAAGAATTAAAAAGGCCCTTAACAGGTAAGTGACTACTGTATTTACTTGTGTCAGTAAACATCAAGGTTTAAATGTTCTATGCCATATGCCAAGAAAATTATCAATCATCACTCGGACATCTGGTGATTTTGATGGATTTGCACTGAGGCCTGAATTGGTCTGCACCTTGCTATGTGTGGGTTCTCATCAGAAGGGTAAAATGCTACATCCAATACAAAAATTACCCCAAATATTCAACATACTGTAACATGCTCAACCAAATACAATGTCCCCATACTTGGTACAACACATGACATCAGCACAAGCATTAGAGTGGGGATACCCAAATTGAGCCTGAGGAGAACCATTGGTACCCGAGGGTTCCAGCCAGGTTCTGAAAAACATTTAGGAATTATGCTCAGATCTGGATCAGGTTTGGACACGTCCATCAAACATCTGCATAGTTTACTGATAAGGGGAACAACACCGTACGAACTCAACTGTGCTGGGCTCGGGACGTTATATACTATAAATTTGTCAGGTATGGATGCCACCTTCTCAAGCACAGGTCTGGTTCAGATAGAAATATGCAGCCCAATTTAACAAGCATACTGCAGTTGTGGTTTGTTTGCCACTGCCTGTAACTCATAGAAAGCATGCCATGTGCAGATAAGTAATAAAAAGCAAAGCTAATACTGAACTTCAGAAACTCAAAAGTAAATCAATTTAAAAATCTAAACATAAGCAACACTTGTCTGTGCTTTCACTGAACACAAA